GTATTAGGAACAAGTCATTCAGATAGATGTTGAATAATATTGGTCCCAAAATAGTGCCTTGCCGTGCACCGTATTTAATTTTTTAAAGTCGCTTTTGAAGTCCCCGATTTTAACGCATTGATGTCTCCTTCTAAAGAGCTACTGAACATTTTTGAAGCGGTTCCCCGTATGCCGATATTTTCGAGTGATTTCAGTAGGAGTGGGTGACTAACGGTGTCAAAAGCTTTAGACAAAGCTATGAAGACACAGAGAGCAACTTTATTGGTATCCAGTGCATTATACATTTCTGTTGTCAAGTCTAGCTTGCATCTTGCGTTGAGATTCCTTCTCGGTATCCATACTGTCTATTTGAGATGATGTTATATTTTTTCATATAGGCACATAATCGAGATTTTATTACCTCTTCAACAAGCTTTGATAATGTTGTTATCAATGATATATAAATGAGTTATATATTTTCATCTGTTTATGGTATATTATCTTTCTTGGCGTTTCTCCACCTTTTTAATCCAATAGTTTTTTGTTTGCGGTTGAAAAACAGCTTTTGCTGAAACTTCGCCGATTCATCACTCATGGTTATTTTTTTACTAGTTTGCATGTTTTCGTGTGTGAAGTTGATGAATGAAGCCGATTTAGTATTATTATTATCCTTATTTTATACCGTAGTATGCGCTGGTCAGGCCCTATCCCCCCAAGGATCCATACATTCGGTAGGGCGCGCCAGCAATATCAACCAACGACTACTCCCCGCACCGTGGGGTAAGTGATCATTGGGTCCGAGAATCATGTGCCCTCAGCAAGCGCAGTGAGCTAAGAATGATAGCCTTTCTAAATCTGTCCGGATAAGATTTTTACCTTAGTGCAGTAGGCCGGTATGATTTTAAGATTCGATAGTAGAGAGGGCATCACTCCACCAAGGACTCCAATAATCACAACAACCATTTCGACAGAGTGGTCAGCCTGGATAGCCTGCGGAGTTCGAAGAGAAAATCTCGATATTTTTCGGACGATACTCGTCTCGTCAGGAGCTGAAAACTCCACGACAAATGGTTAGGCTCAGATTGGGTTTATTGGCAAGCAAATAGGAATACACTTGAGGTACCTTTTTGACGGAAATACATTGAGCTGTGAAGTGTACAATTGAAACGAAAATAGAGTATAATTATTATATGGAATATTCATTTAAATATACATGATATAATCGAAAAATATAATTATATCATATTAAAAATGCGATATGTGTATCATCCTCAAGGAATTCATTTGTGCTGGAGTATACTTTTTCAAAGTAAAAGTTTTCCCACCTTTTTGCGAAACAGTAGTTTGCTATTAGGTTTTATAATCGATAAAGAAAGATGATTGAAAAGCTTCCTTCCGTTGTAAAAAATATTTTCTTTGATTTGTGCTGAAGAGGGAATTGGAAGTGTTATTTTATTGCTGAGTGGAGTACGATAATCTGGCTTGAATATGATGTCCTTTCTGTGCGTTTTATGCATAAATGAAACTGTCTATAGGAAAGAGAACCCTTTTATGGATAACTAAAACCAATTTGATTAGGTTTTTGGTGCTCTCACCCAAGAAACAAATGCCATATTACATATAAATGACTCATAAAGCGCAAAATATGCTTTTTGAGCTGCAGTGTAATTAAAATATCCTGATAAAGCTTTTAGGGCATGATATTCTGAGAAAACTTTTATACACAAGTAAATTGTTGGTACCTATGATATGCAAATTTTGTTTCATTATCTATAAGCAGACCTAAACATTTATTGTCATATTTGGAAATATTGACTTGGTTATTGAGAACAATGCCATCTGTCACATTTGAAAGTCATGATATTGGTTTTGTATACATTAAAAGATAACAGGTTGGCATAATACCATTGTTTGACTTCTTTTCCATGTCTTGTTCTATATTATTTTGTAATGTATTCAGAATATTACTACGCCAGAGTATTAATGTATTGTCTGAGAAAATTGTGAACTTTCCATTGATGGGTAGATTAGCCAAAACATTTATACAGGGTGTCCCTGGACTTCCTCTTTTCCTCTCGGGAATGTATAGATGGGGTCAAAATATCACCAGTACTTCATATAACTTTTTTTCCTAAAATCCTTCGTTACCAAGTAACGGGCCCTCGAAGTTACAAAATGAAAAATGTTTTTCTTTGATAACTTTTCAAGTGAATATTCAAAATCATCCAAATTTTGG